TTTATTGCTTAGATGAGTGGACGAGCTCACAGCCCACCTGGTATTAAGTGGTTACCGGAGCCCATAGACATCTACAACGTAAATGCGCCACCCACCTTGAGATATAATTTCTAAGGTCTCAGTATAGTTACAACGGTTGCTTTACCTTCAAACCAAAACCCTTTACTCCTTGCTTCACGGCAGAAATATTCAAGGCGGCGGTACCTACCCTTGCAGGTACACAAGACGTCCTACTACCAGTAAACAAGTTAGATTAAAATATTATATAATGTATGCTTTATATAATACTCATCATCATCATTATCCTGCCCTTTTCCCAGTCACCTGGGGTCGGCGCAACATGTTTTCTCCTTCCATACTCTTCTATCATATACCATTTCTTCGCTCACTCCCCTCCTACCCATATCGTCTTTCACACAATCCATCCATTTCTTCTTAGGTCTACCTCTTCCTCTAAATCCTTCCACATTCATAGTTAACACTCTCTTAACAACCTCCTAAACCTATGCTTTATATAATACTAAACATGCAATTTTACTGCGTCAAATTCGTGAATCAGAAATATTGCCGCAAGTTGCATTTTCTGTCTCTGAAAAAATACTGTTTGTGTCACTCTCTAGTTCACACATTAAGAGTCGACTGGCTGTGTGTTGATGTGTTGATTCGTTGGTACGTAAAATCGCGAAACCAATGAACAAATTATCGTATTTCAGATCCAGCTGATTTTGTATCATCTGATGTATCCAATGTGGGTAAGCTATGTCATTTACCATGGTAAAAAATATCCTACTGATTAATACAGGCTATAAATTGTTACTGGTGGTAGGACCTCTTGTGAGTCTGCGCGGGTGGGTACCACCACCCTACCTATTTCTGTCGTGAAGCAGTAATGCGTTTCGGTTTGAAGGGCGGGGCAGCCGTTGTAACTATACTGAGACCTTAGAGGTTATATCTCAAGGTGGGTGGCGCATTTACGTTGTAGATGTCTATGGGCTTCAGTAACCACTTAACACCAGGTGGACTGTGAGCTCGTCCAACCATCTAAGCAATAAAAAAAATATATCTTATTGAGAAATTTCATCTATACCCGGCGAGTCAGTTTTTGGATGAATCAGTGGCAAACTTCACTTCACTTTTATAATATATGTAGTAATAATTTATGAATGTCGGAGAATGACACAGCCAACACTTTGTCCCGGGCAAGTGTAGCGTGTTTCACTATTTTCGAATTACAAAATTAAAGCCATCGAAACCACGGAGCACGTCTAGTATCTAAATAATTTATATCAATTATTTAAACATTTTGAACTCTGGGCCGTAACGTAGTTTTTGTAAGCGAACACTAACGAGCCCTTCTGATGAACGGGCCGCGCTTAGTACCAACGATCGCCCTTTGTATGTGGAATTGGGTTAAGCGGTATAGTTTATGGCAATATTTATATCGGTAATGGGCTGCTTAGCTACTTATTTTATGCTTTCATATATTCTGTCTAAGGGTATGTTTTGGCTATGTACTTTAGCGTAGTTAGGCCATCGATGCCGCGGTTGACCCGGTTTTGCATAAGTCTAAATACGTAACCGGACTTAAACAATCTCATAATTTTTTAGTTAAAGGCTTTACTAAACATATAAAATCGAGATATGTTAAAGATTTCAATTTTGATTCACACAATAAACTAATAATTTTGTTATTTTCGACTTAATCTAAACTCCAAATATATTATGTACTAGCGACCCGCCCTCGCTTCGCTTCGGAAACTGTAATTTATTATTGATTTCTCCACTATTTAATGGATGTTATTATACATAAAACCTTCCTCTTCAATCACTCTATCTATTAAAAAAAACCGCATCAAAATCCGTTGCCTATTTTTGAAGATTTAAGCATACATAGGGATATAGGGACAGAGAAAGCGACTTTGTTTTATACTATGTAGTGATAACCCATGCTGTCATTATTATCTGTTTCTATGTAATTCGAATTGGCCCTAAATTTTACACCATAGAGATGTGTAATTAACAGACGCTTTTGAACAATAAGAGCTGTCCGCTTTAGAAGATATTATATATAATATCCTCCTAGGAGGAGATTTTTATAATATCTTTCAATACTTGTATGGTTGATTCATTCACATAATAAATATGTACCTGGAATATTAAGCAAGCTAAAAAACTCTTCTTGGTTTTTTTTTAAAATTCGTTTACTGTGTTATTACTCATTGATGTGTTCTATTTGACTTTATTATCCTCCTCGTTAGAGAGTTACGATAACAGAAAAAGCGCTCGTTCTCAAAATAAAATGTATGTGTTTAAAAGGGTTTTCGAACTCTTCTTCGAAGTCTAAATTATGACTTATTTTCGACAAAAATAGGCAGAGAATGTGATGATGGTACCTATTCGTGCGGGCTTACGATGTGTTCTAGGTATTACATGAGCTCTTCCAATAAACTACAAAAAAAAAGACGCACGCAACTAAAAGTTATTTAACGAAGAGCCCGAAGCCCGGGTGAGGCAGATAAAGGATAGACGTATGACCGGCCATTAGGCATCGTAGGAAAAACGACCTGGGAATTACCAGAGAACTGCCATTGTACTGATAAAGGCATATTAATGTTTCTACTTTGATCGAGTGGGAGTAGTTTGGGTTTGATGATCAAATGAATTAAAAGTTTCCATGGGTCATTTGTTTTAGAAAATTTGGTATTCGAGGATTCTGACGGTGGAGCCAGAGTACTTAGTCAATCAAGGTTTTGTGAGTAGTCGTTGCTGGATTTATAAATTTTTCCTAAATACCAATTATATGTATTTTAGTACATATATTGAAATATTTTTTCTATGAGTCTGTACTACTTAAAATATCCATGAACATGGTGCTAAGGTAATCTCGGATGAGCCCTGAACTGACTTTCTCATCTAATCTTAAATTCGTACAGATGACAGAGCATGTTAGTAGCGTACGTCTATGAGATTACCATCGAAATATGTACATAAATATTGACAGCACAAACATATTGTACAATTCGTAGTGTATTATAGACGCTCTTATAAATTTTTTTATTTTTATTTTTTTGAATAGGTCATGGCTCACCTGGTTTTAAGTGGTTACCGGAGCCCATATACATCTACAAAGCGAATGTCTCCACCTACCAAGAGATATAAGTTCTAAGGTCTCAGTTTCTACAGTACAACGGCTGTCCCACCCTTTAAGCCGAAACACATTACTGCTTCACGGCAGCAATAGGCAGGATGGTGGTACCTATCTGTATAGACTCCTTACCACCAGTAAGTAATGGACACGGTCCTTGTGAGACGTTTATTGAGTCCGGTGACTGCTTCACATCAGATGGGCTGTATGCTCTTTTTATGTAATTCAAATAAAAGAAAACTAAAACAGGCTGATTATGTTTTTATTATTCGTGTGTTTACTTGGGGACTTATTAATGAATTGCTAAAAGTTATCAATTTAACGACTGACCCATGACTCTTATTATTTATAAAAATATGGTTATGTATGTACTTGATTGTTACTGTATCACACATGTTATGACCTTATTATAATAATAAGTCGAAAATATATAATTTTGCTCAGTTGTTTGGTGGATATCGGCGTGAAAGCGTACGTGAGACTAGTTCTACTTAGAGTTTCCTAAGATTTATTTGTGTCTTCGTAGGCAGACGTACCATACAAGCTAGCTGATGGTGAGTAGTCATGTGACTCATTGGTAGAAATAAAGCTAGTAAGTCTGCAACCAACCAAAACCCGTTTGAGGAAGAAATATGGGAAAACCAGAGGGTTGTTTTGAAAAGCAACGTTACAGTTTTTAGTGCCTTCAACTCCCTGTCGCGTGCTACATGACGGGTCCAACACGCGCATGCAATTTAACCTCACACCATAAATACGTAATGCTCCTGTGTTTTTTAATTTTTTTATTGCTGAGATGGGTAGCCTAGTTCACAGCCCACCTGGTGCTAAGTGGTTACTGGAGCCTATAGACATCTATAGCTTAAATGCGCCACCCACCTTGAGATATAAGTTCTAAGGCCTCAGCTCAGTAACAACGGCTTTTTTTTCCGGAATACCCCGCTGGGCCAGAACCAGCCTGTCGGGTCGGAACGCGATACATCGCCGGCCGGGTAGTTACAACGGCTGCCCCAACCTTCAAACCGAAACGCATTACTGGTTCATGGTTGTACCTACCCGTGCGGACTCACAAGAGGTCCTACCACCAGTAATAACGGCAGAAATAGGCAAGGTGGTGGTACAGGGTGGGTCTGTTTTAAGGCAGGAATAATGACGATGCATTTTTCCTACCACCAGTAAGAAATTCCCAACATTTCTGAAGACAGCTTTGTTTTACCTTCTAAATGACTTGCACAAGCGGCTGCGCACATGTCAATCCGATAATGTTATCGTTCAATCGTAATCATTTGGTATCATTACAATATTCGCTCAGTGATCAATGTTCGACCGCTGTGGATTTAAATGCATTTGATGTATTACGTTTTGTCTTCTACTAGATATTGATATTTATAAAAATACACTGGCCAATTGTAAAATTTTTCAATAGCTACTAAAAATCGGTTAACAAACAGAGCAGTGATCGGTACTTAATTGTTTCGTCTATTTAAATATAGATTAATATTTTAAATTATTTATTGGGGCGTCAAAATGCTTTAAACCTCTTTAGTATAAAATCGTCAATAATCTTTTTTTTTTTTTTTTGCTTAGATGGATGGACGAGCTCACAGCCCACCTGGTGTTAAGTGGTTACTCGAGCCCATGGACATCCACAACGTAAATGCGCCACCCACCTTGAGATATAAGTTCTAAGATCTCAGTATAGTTACAATGGCTGCCCAACCTTCAAACCGAAACGCATTACTGCTTCACGGCAGAAATAGGCAGGGCGGTGGTACTTACCCGCGCGGACTCACAAGAGGTCCTACCACCAGTAAAAAATCTATATAAATATTTTGTAATTTTAGCTTTGGTGTTCATCATGGTGCATTTAACGGAAGAACAAAAAAAGTTTTACGAAGAGAATGGCTATATAGTTCTAAAGAATGTTCTGTCGGAGGAAGACCTGTGTTCAATCACAATAGAATATAACAATCTCTTCAACAGGAAGAACCAGGAAAAGATGGAGAGCTCCTGGGTCGGCAGTGACCATAACGACAGGAAACATGACAAGAATTTTACTGTGAGCATATAATTTTTAGTATGGAGCAACTACTTCACTATATAATATAAAACAAAGTCGTTTCTCTGTCCCTATATCCCTATGTATGCTTAAATCTTTAAAACTACGCAATGGATTTTAATGCGGTTTTTTTAGATAGAGTGATTAAAGAGGAAGGTTTATATGTATAATAACATCCATTAAATAGTGGAGAAATCAATAATAAATTACAGTTTCCGAAGCGAAGCCAGGGCGGGTCGCTAGTCACTAATAAATGGCAGTGGTATTCTCACATTAACACAGTCTCCGTAATATCTATGCTGGTTTGTCGATACAAAAGACAATCCAATAATCCCAAGATGAGTTAAAGACACTAAAGTCAATCCGGTTGTAGGATTCGGAAATATAAGGGTACAACGGCAATTATTTCGAGACAATCAGGTTCTCATTGTGACGTAACATATAACGTGCTTTGTCCATTGGGAGGGTTATGCCAGTAGTCACCACGCTTGGCAGGCGGGTTGGTGACCGCAGTACTATGTCCTTTCCTCAGGGCATGCTGCTGCCCATTTCCTGATTTTTTTGTATTTACATGACTTGCGGCGATATGCTGGGAGAGATTGGATGCGGAGGGCGGAGGATCGTTCATTGTGGCGGACTATGGGAGAGGCCTACATCCAGCAGTGGATAGATACAGGCTGATGATGATATAACGTGCACCATAAAAAACAAATATTATTTTCAGGTGAAAGGTATCCACAACCTTCAGTTCCACCACGCCGTGTTCTCCAAGTTCATCTTCAACGACAATCTTCTGGACGCTCTCGAGGATGTAATGAACACTAAGAACATTATTTTCCATCACACGAAGGCTCACTACAAGCCCCCCGAAAAAGGAGCAGCTTACCCAATGCACCAAGTAAGACTTATCTGAACACGCAGACGATTTGAGAAATCTATCCGAAAGGCCTCTAGAAGCATGTTATCATTGTATTACATATTTTATCGACTCTCATTGGCCTTAAGTTGTTTATTAACTTGATGATGAGATGTCCTTTATTCCCTGGAATTGCTTTGTTCTAGGACTATCACTATTTCCCGTACGAAAAAGACTCAATGGTTGCGTCTTTCTTGCATTTAGACGCAGCCGATCCTAAGAATGGATGCCTTTACGTGTACCCTGGTTCACACAAACTGGGACCTCAGGAAGACGTTGGTGCTAAAGAAGGAAACTTTCATTTTGTTGATCAGGTAAGAAGTTTAAAGTGATTTTTGGAAATCCTTGGCATCGGTTTAAGGTATTGTGGCTGTGATGTATCGGCCTAGAATAACAATAGAATAACAATAGTAGAAGTCATCGTGGCCTAACGGATAAGACGTCCAGTGCATTCGTGTTGAGCGATGCATCGGTGTTCGAATCTCAGGCGGATACCAATTTTTCTAATGAAATACTTACTCAAAAAATGTTTACGATTGATTTCCACGGTGAAGTAATAGCATCGTGTAATAAAAATGAAACCCGCAACATTATAATTTGCGTAATTACTGGTGGTAGGACTTTTTGTGAGTCCGCGCGGGTGGGTACCACCATCCTGCCTATTTCTGACGTGAAGCAGTAATGCGTTTCGGTTTGAAGGGTGGGGCAGCCGTTGTAATTATACTTGAGACCTTAGAACTTATATCTCGAGGTGGGTGACGCATTTACGTTGTGGATGCCTATGGGCTCCAGTAACCACTTCACACCAGGTGGGCTGTGAGCTCGTCCACCCATCTAAGCAATAAAAAAAAACAACTACAACAACACTTGGGGTTTTACCGTGAGTGAAAGAAAAGGCGCTTAAGGGACTGAAGGAAATTGGGCAGCAGTTTTCTCTGAGTGTTATAGCAATTTATGGGGATTTCGAGCCGGTATTTACTGATCTTAGGACGTATTGTAAGCTCGCACTAGAATATAGCATCACATTGCCTGTTCCTTATTTCCACCCCGAAGCAGTAATATATTCTGGATTGAAAACTGTAACAACTGTAAAACAATATGATAGACACTTCGACTTCATGTACCAAGTTGGATGGCCGCATTTACGTTATAAAGTCTGTTACCATTATGTACTACTGTGACCATTATACCCCCCACAAGAGCTTTGACCTCGTTCTTTCGTCTAAGCTATGGTATGGCTCAGAACCTTAACATGATTCGGCATCATCACGTGTGAGGTGATGATACCGAATCATGTTAAGGTGATGTTACCGGTGATGTACCTTTGGAGTGATAGATCACAAGTTCGAAGCAGGAGGGTATCATCAAGTTTATGATAATTTACACAATTATGTAAGGAACTGAAATGTTTTAGATTGGTTCGTAATTCCCATTATTGGAACATGGCTGATTGTTGACTGAAAATAATAATAAGTCCGGACAGTCATTTGTTTAGATTAATTGACGGTATGCAGCCGCTTGGCTTGGTCCTGGAATTGTTGACGTCCATGAGCAATGGTAACCACTCACCATTGCTTGTCTGTCTACAAGGGAATTAAAAAAATTGAATCTCTAACTTTATTTCTCATATTCGTTTCTCAAGATGCTCGACAGCATTTACATTACGGTGTCTATAGTTCCAGTAGCCACTTCAGAGTGAGTTATTCGGGTATTCTCGAGTATTCCTCGCGGATCTAGGTATATAATATACCTATATAATATACCTAGATCTCGCATAAAATCTCATACAAAATGGATTCACAATAATAATTTAGAAATAGCTTATTTGTAATTAAAATATACCCGGAGGATGTCAGCAGAAGAGAGATAATCACAAGAATTGGGTTACTCAACGAGTATTTGTGTACATAGTAAAAAGAGAGACTGATGAACTACGAACCCCAATCAAGTACTATTTGGCTCATTTCCGAGCTATTCTATCTCGTCTCATCATCCTTGAATTAATACGGGCGATATTATTTTATTGTATGTAATGAATAATTGATGAGGGGTATGAAACGAAAATAATCATAAATATAAAGACGGGATTGTAAAAATATTGGCATCATCAGAAACTTCCCTTTTTTTTGTTTTATCCATTTATTATTCTTTCCTTCCTTGTATCGTAATATTGATCAAAAGTAGTACAGATATTTACAATATATAAAATATTTTATTTTTACGAAACTCATTCTTGACTTGTTCTTATTGTATTTTGAAAGGAATTGCAATCAGCTCTTTGTGCGGTATTTGCGGAGCAGTACTTTCTTCAAAGATATTAATTATAGTACATTGGTGGGATTATCATTGGACATTTTACTAGTGGTAAGACCTCTTGTGAGTCCCCACGGGTAGGTACCACCAGCGTGCCTATTTCTGCCGTGAAGCAGTAATGGGTGTCGGTTTGAAGGGTAGGGTGCCCGTTGTAACTATACTGAGATTTTAGAACTTATATCTCAAGGTGGGTGGCGCATTTACGTTGTAGATGTCTATGGGCTCCAGAAACCACTTAACACCAGGTCGGCTGTGAGGTCGTCAAATCATCTAAGCAATAAAAAAAAGCATAGAATTCAGGTAATACTAAAAAGTGTAGATTTACAAAACGCTATTCTGGTAGTGAAGTGGAGACCGCGGACCTGTAAATCTAGTGTAAGATGCCCAGCAGCAAGGTGGAGCGACGATATTCGATCAGGTCGCATGGCGTTGTTTGGGTGTGAAAGACCTTGGTCAAAAAGTAGACTAAAATTAATGATGATTCTGGCAGTAAATATTCAAAATGATTTGTGATGGTAAACTGGTGGTAGGACGTCTTATGAGTCCGCACGGATAGATACCACCGCCCAGCCTATTTCTGCTGTGAAGCAGTAATGCTTTTCGGTCTGAAGGGCGAGGCAGCCATTATACTGTAAAAGTTGAGACTTGGAACTCATATCTCAAGGTGGTGGCGGCATTTACGTTGTAGATGTCTATGGGCTCAGATAACCACTTAACACCAGATGGGCCGTGAGCTCGTCCAATCATCGAAGCAATATATTATATATAAATCTAAATAAAACTGGTAAATAATTTATGCGCTTTCAGAAAAAGTTCCCTATATTGAGAGCGAAACCGGTGATCGCCGATCGTGGAGATGTGGTAGTATTCTCCTATCTACTGATCCACGGCAGTACTCCTAACTATTCACATCGTCCGCGACGTATGCTGCTCATGCAGACAGCAGCCGCTGATGACCGGCGTCTCTCCATTGGACAACCTACACAGCCCGGATACGGATGGTTACTCCGAGGAGTCAATCTTGAAAGGGACGCTAGTATCTCGAAGAGATTTGATGCGTAATAAATGCTTGTACAAAGTACTGCTTTGTTTATATATTGAAATTGGTTCTGGGACGATAAATTGGAAGTACTAGACAATAACGTATGTATGCCGAATGCTTTAAAATAACAGATATTAATCGGTAAACCTAACCATTACGGCATTCATTTTTCGGACAAATTATTATATTACTAGTATTATATTTTCTACTAGCTGACCCGGCAGACTTCGTAGTGCCTGAATCGATAAATGAGAGGCCTAAACTTTTGTATAAAATAAACTTAAATTAAAACAAACAAAAGGAATCCGTCCGACGGGGGACACAACAAAGGAAAAACAAAATTGTTATTTTTATTGAATTCTGAGCATTTTCATATTTATCTATCCTTTTAAACCTTCTCTGGACTTTCACAAATAATTCAAGACCAAAATTAGCCAAATCGGTCCAGCCGTTCTCGAGTTTTAGCGAGACTAACGAACAGCAATTCATTTTTATATATATTTTTTATAAAGGCAGTTCTATAAGTCCTTGAAATGTGATCAAGAGTGCTTACAGAGTGAATTTATGTTCGTTGCGTCTCGAATATTGGTTGCATTTAAACGACTTTCTTTAGTAGTAGTAGTAGTAGAAGAAAGCGTTGATATATACTAGATCTACTTGTCTTGTTTAGTCTACTTTATACTGGTGGTAGGACCACTTGTGAGTCCGCACGGGTAGATACCACCGCCCTGTCTATTTCTGCCGTGAAGCAGTAATGCGTTTCGGTTTGAAGGTAAAGCAACCGTTGTAACTATACTGAGACCTTAGAACTTATATCTCTCAAGGTGGGTGGCGGCATTTACGTTGTAGATGTCTATGGGCTCCAATAACCACTTAGCACCAAGTGGTCTGTGAGCTCGTCCACTCATTTAAGCAATAAAAAAAGTTCAGTAAAACAAATAAGAAGCATTCTTACATCCAATCACAGAACAAGCATGAGTTCTAACAATTTAATCTAGACGCACGTATCTACCACACGTACACGCCTCAATTAGCAATGCAAATGTTTGTTTTATATCACAAACGAAGACAGAAACTCATATCGTGACTGCATAATACAAGACAAACTGCAGTAAGATGTTTCGCTACGGAAAGACGCGCGCGTCTCTAAACCGCCGTACTTAGAAGTGATAAGGAAAGATATTCATTTTGCGATTGTATTTTTTAATTGAAAACGCAGGTCAATTCAAAAACACATGTTTCTGATAATGGTTTGTTACCTAGACTGTTTTCTATTAATTTGTGTACATTACATTTACATTGGCATTGCTGAAGTCCATGGGCGACGGTAACCACTCACCATCAGGTGGGTATGCTCGTCTGCCTACAAAGGCAATAAAAAAAAATTTGGTTTAATATCAAGATTTCAAAAAATAGTTAGTGAATTTTATGTGGGGGGTAGCCATCATACAACACAAGATATTTGACAGATGCTGGAATCTCGCTTACAACATTTTAAAGATAAGCTTGCAAATATACAAGCTCCGAAGAACAATATTTGGTTTGGTGGAAGGAAGATCTTCCCTCCGTCGTTACTCCATCTTTCACTGATGGTAGAACGTATTGTGAGTTCGCACAGGTAGGTACCACCTTTCAGCCTATTTCTGCCGTGAAGCAGTAATGCGTTTGGGTTTGAAGGGTGAGGCCAGCCGTTGTACTGTAAAAACGGAGACCTTCCAACTAATATCTCAAAGTTGGTGGCGGCATTTACGTTGTAGATGTATATGGGCTTTGGTAACCACTTAACATCAGGTGGGCCGTGAGCTCGTCCACCCACATAAGCAATAATAAAAAAAAAACAATATACTTATATAAGTTGTAGGCAGTGGCTTGGCTAGAGCTGGCGTCATGACTTAGGGTAATTACTGTTCATTAGGTGAATTTTATGCAATTTTATCTACAGTAGCCATAAAAACAAGTAAAAACCTGCGAAGTAAGATTTATGAAACTACTTACTTAGTAGTAGTGGATAGTAAAAGGTCGAAAATCAGATAAAATAATTAGGTTTTTTTTCTTCTACCTAACCTAGTAGCCTCAGAGAGCTATGGCAGCGTCTTCTTACCTAATTTTTTACTTCAGGCCCGTTATTATCTCCTAATTCAGATTTAAGAATTGTCCTCCTTATGTAGGGTAGTTTTTACGCATATTAATTTAAGGGAAACCATTTCTATTAATACTCGTTAATCGGTCTCTATCGGTGAGATAGTTAACCCATCATTACCAAATTAAAACGATAAATTTACCGATAATAAGTACCGTCATGAATTGCGAGCCTTACCTTGCACGTACAGTGAGTGTGTGTCTGCTAATTACCACACACCCGGGGCGCGCACAGTCGAGCACCCGAGCAAGCATCGCGCGGCTATTTATTTAAGTTGCTCGTTAAATGCGGAAATTGCTTTATTAAATACGAAATTAATATTCGTTGGTGCGGAATCTGCCATGCGAATTGAGAATGACACCGTGAAACATATCCGTTTATTTTCTTTGATATTCGATACTGAGCTTTTTTTTCCTGCCTATGCTGATAACCTTGAGAGGCTATTTCAGCTTCGCCCTAACTTATAGGTGAGCTCACGGGGCTCAAACCGGAAGTGTTAACACTGGCCCTATGAAGGGCAGTGCTTCGCAGAATCTACCACCGGATCGGAAACGCGACCCACTGAGAAGATCCGGCGAGAAACTCAGTGGGCTCTATACTGAGCTTACGTACTACGTGGCATCAGCAATTCATTAGTATAAGAATGTGAGCAAACAGCTTAAGTTTGACAGTCATGCCGGTTCAAACTCAACAGTATCAACTAATTCTCCATACACATCAAATTCAATGATAATATTTTGCAAATGCAAATGAAAATGTTTCCCTTCATCAAGGAGTACCACCAGCCGTGTGGCATTTCGAGCTGTCGCGGCTTAATCCTATGCTGAGATGATTCGTCTATGCTTTTGAGGTGCACGCTATCCACAGCCGCAGAGTCGTCTAGTTGATTACTTTATATATTGAATCGTTAATTAACACATTGAATGAAGCCCTATAGACAAGGAAAGTCACGTTGAATGCTTACTTCGAAAATCACGTGGTCGCAAAGCTAAGCCTTATTAAGGACTCTCAGAAAATATCTATGTATCTTCCACCACAACTTCGCTTCAGCGTTAACCTTGATTTGATCTTCATTGACTAAGACTTCGTTGACCGTCGAAGATGGCGTTTACGTGAAAAGGAAGCGTCGTCTTATGAACCCCTCTTTGAAAATAATTTTAACACGTTTTTAGAGACGACCTAAACATTAAAGTTTTTTATTTTTTACTAGCTGACCCGGCAGACTTCGTAGTGCCTCAATCGATAAATAAAAGACACATCAAGGGGACACATCAAAGAAAAAACAAAATTGTTTGTTTTCATATAATTCCGAGCTTTTTTATATTTTCTCACCTTTTAAACCTTCCCTGGACTTCCACGAATAATTCAAGACCAAAATTAGCCAAATCGGTCCAGCCGTTCTCGAGTTTTAGCGAGACTAACGAACAGCAATTCATTTTTATAGAGATTGCTTACATGGTTGGATGAGCTCACGGACCCCATGGTCTTAAGTGGTTACCGGAGCCCATAGACATCTAGAACGTAAATGCCCCGCCCACCTTGAGATATGAGTTAAAAGATCTCACTTTTAACAGTATAACGGCCGCCCTTCATACCGAAACGCATTAGATCTTCACGGCAGAAATTGGCAGGGTGGTAGTACATACCCGTGCAGACTCACAAGACGTCCTACCATCAGGTCCTTGAGTTTACGCAAAGATAATCTATTTAGTGAAGTTAAATCTGTATTGAAGTAAAAGCTAAGAGAGTCAAAGAGTTGAATCTGCATTTTATAATATTGTTGTAACAAATATATCGCTTTGCTATTTATAATTTTTTTTTATTTTTGTACGCGTTATAATTGCTATAACTAAGCAAAATAATGCACAGCAATACTTTTCATATGCTAAGCTTAATTTTTTCATTGGAGCGATTTATAAATACTAAATCATTGAATGAGTCGAAATAACTCAAAAGTATACTATAAAGATCATATTAAATCAAATAAACAGACCGTTACTAATACGATTTACGTTATCAGAAATAGACAAATTCACAAGATAAACGACCAAAGATACGAACCCGGTGCCCCGGGGCCCTTTATCCTCGGCTGCGCAGTCACTAGCTGACAAATGTTCCTTCGTAAACATGACTAATGCATTTAAAGTTTACCTGATATCTAGTAGGTTTGTTTCTTGACTATATTCTAGTACAATCCCTGTTTATTGTTATTTTTATTATTATTTATTGATGCACAAAACAAATTACAACCAATAAAAATAAAAAGTTTAAATATTTAACATAGCAATCTGGATTGCAATTCAAAACAGGTGCATATAGAAAAAAAATAACAACTGAATAGTTGCCTAAATACACACATTGTGTGTATATATACATACACACATACGTTCACACACGCACAAGCACACACACACACACACACACACACACACACACACACACACAACAACAACTGCACGCACACATACTCACACACATATGTAACTGTTACTATCTAATGAAATTAAATCTAATGTATCATTAACTGGACAATATATATTTGAGAATATGTTTAACTAATTTACAATATCAATAAAAATTATTTTCAAATATTGTGAGTACGAATGAGCAAGCAATTGCTGTCAAAAAATAAATTGATTCCGCAGAGCTCAGAAATATATTGTAAATAAAATAACAATTTAACTCCTTTGAACACACTTGAAGTGTAGATAGAGAAATGTGTCCAAGCTTAGAAACAATTTATGAGACTATTCCAAGGACCCCAACGCTGCATGCTGTTGAATATACTTCCCAATTATATCGTAGTAGAATATTTCGTATCGTTCCAACCATATCTGTAGCTACTTCACGCTGAAAACGTGGTAGCTTAGGTTCGTTATG